AATTTATAATTTATCAAGGAGTCATGAAAGTGAGGGGGAGGAAGGGTAAAAAGATACAAGGGCTCAAATAGAATGTAAATGTTTAGAAAATAATGATGGTAACATATGTACAAATATACTTGATACAATTGACGTATGGGAAAAAAAACCCAATTGATGTACGGATTGTTATAAGAGTGTAAGAGCCCCAATAAAATCTTTAAAAAAAAATGCTACCTTGAGTCTATCCCACCTGAATTTCGAGAATATCTCAACAACAGATTTAACACCTGAATGACAGAAGACCCGATGAGCTGTGGGTGGACACCAAGACCCTTCATGAAGAAAGCAAAAGGTCATTAAAACGACAGGAAAGAAGAGGTCAAAGTGGATGTCAGAAGAGCCTCAAACGTGCTCTTAATTGTAAAGTAACTAAAGGAAATGAAAGAAAAGATGAAGTTAAAGAGCTGAATAGAAAATTTCAAAGGGCAGCTCAAGAAGCCAAATATTGTAACAAAATGTGCAAGGACCTAGCACTGGAAAGTTGAAGGACATGCTCAGGATATCTGAAATGGAAAGAACTCATGAAGAAATTCAAACCTCAAGTGGCAATCTTGAAAGATTCTGCAGGCAAAAGATTGAATGATACAGGAAGCATCAGGCAAAAATGGAACGAACATGGTCATTATTGAATGCATGAGCTGAAAAGCAGGCCCCAGGAGCTGATGGGGCAGCCACTGAGACGCTTCAGCACGCTGAAGCGCTCTGGGAGCACTCGCTCTCTCAGCCAGGACATGTGGAAAACGCAACTTGGACAGCGAGCTGGAAGAGCTCCTTATCTGTTCCCAATTCCAAAGAAAAGTAACCCAACAATGCTCAAACTATAGCACAATTATCCTACTATCACATGCAAGTAAAATTTTGCATTAAGATCACCCAACAACAGTGGCAGTAGTACACTGACATGGACTGGCCAGGTCAGGTGGGATTCAGAAGAGAATGTGGAACAGGGGAGATCAATGCTGATGTCAGATGGATCTTGGCTCAAAGCAGAGAGTATCAGATGGATGTCTACTTGAGTTTCATTAACTACGCAAAGTATTTGTGTGGATCATCATAAACTGTGGATAACCTTGAAAAAAATGGGAGTTCCACAAGTCCTTGTGCTCATGAGGATTTAAAGGCATGTGTGCAAACAGACCAAGGAAACATCACAGGGAAAGGTGTAGATCAGTGTTGTTTTCTCTCACCATATTTATTCAAGCTGTATGCGGAGCAAATCATCAGAGAAACTTAATTATATGAAGAAGAATGTAGCATCAGGATTGGAGGAAGGCTTATTAACCTGCAATATTAGACAACATAACCTTGCTTGATGAAAGTGAGGAGGACTCACTGATGAAGGTCAAGGATTGCAGCCTCACAGTATGGATTACAACTCAAGGAAGGAAGGCCAACATTCTCACAACTGGATCAATAGCTAACAGGATAAATGTAGAAAAAAGTTGAAGTTGTCACGGATTTGTCTTTCTTGGATCTACAATCGATGTTCATGGAAACAGCAGTCAGGAGATCAAAGACGTAAACCTGTACAAGACCTCTTTAGAGTACTGAAGAACAGGATGCTACTCTGAGGACTAAGAAGACCTGATGAGCTGTGGGAGGACATCGAGACCATCCAATTCCTGGAGAAAGCAAAAGGTCATTAAAAAGACAAGAAAGAAAGGTGAAAGTGGATGTCAGAAGAGACTCTGAAGGTCTATCTGGATA